AAACAAACAAACTAGTCTTACACTGCTAAATTAGGGACGGCTAGCGCAGATAGCCCTCGTGTAGCTTTGCGCGAAATTCAAAAACAACCAATTAAGTAATTCTTGTCCACACATACACCTTGCGAATCTACCAATAACAACGGAGAAGTATTGTAAAGCTTTTTAAGAAAAACTTCGGATATTAAAAAGAAACACGTTCTTAGTATAACTTTTATTTATGATCATTTTTCTACAATAGTTTCACGCGAAACTCTAAAATCGAACTTATTTTTTATTCTGTAATAGCCACCTGTCGTCACTGATGTTTTACATTTTTTTTACAGTATTTTTTTTAATATACGTAAGAGATAAAATGTTAGAATTAATTGAGATAAAGTTATTTTAGAGGATCTCTTCGTACTTAATAAAAATATGTTTTATTTCCTTTTCAAGACGCACCCGCTTAACTTACGAACAATATGAAGTTTCGAAACAGTTATTTGTGGGGTAACAGATTTATTTCTCTACAAACTATCACCCCACAAGTAGCTGTTTCAAAATTTCATACTGTTTGTGAATATAATGCTAATCTCGTCCCGAAATGGAAATATAGAAGCTGTAATGAACTGTAAAATCACCTCTGTTTATGAGTTACCCACCAACAGAAAAGCTTGTTTCAGACTTTTTTCCAGCATTTTCGCTGAAAACTACACCAGCGGAAATTTGCGCTAGCCGCCCTAATTTTGAGTTGATACACTAGAGAGAAAGATACACTAGAGATACACTACAGTAATCGGACTCTTAAACTCCTTTTTTTTTCTAACCAAATAGGAGGATTTGACTGTCACTCTTACAGTTCACCAATTGTGTGACTGAAGAAATGGGCCACGAACCACAAATCTTTGAATTTATAGTTCAAGCATGCTAATCTCTGGACCACAACCTAATAGCGGGGTTTAACTGTCACTCTTATAACGCATTTGTAGTTCGAAAGAGCGGAGCACGCTTTTACAGCAACGTCTTAAACAATAAACCCTCGGATTCACATTACGAACACTCTTCCACATTATGTTCCAGTAGCAAAACACATAATATGTTGACCTGTATGTTTTTTTCTTTTTTTTAACAGGGTTGACCAAATGTTGTATTTTCGGAGCTTACCACTCAAATGTTTATTTTAGGGTTAGCTCGACTGGTATAACTAATTAGGCACAAACAAGGTTTGACCGGCATAGCCTAATAGTCAACATAGAAAATTATTAAATTTGGCTTCAATTTTTCTTTAATTTCTCAACAAGCTGCCCCTCTCGGTCCCCATTCATCGAAGTAACCACAAAATAAATGTTCTTAGTAACTGAGCTAAAATATTAATCGACCACCTGTGGCTATAATAAAGTACTAATGTACTCAGAAAGCCCGAGTAAAGCATTGATAGTGCTGTCATGTTTTACAGTAGAATAAAACCGATAACTAAAGAATTACAACCATGCAGTTTTCAATATCTTGTAGCCCAACTCAAACAGCTTTTATTGACATATCAGTAGTCGTCTACGTGTGTACCATTAGTGGATTTCAGCACGTCTAATCGATATTCGAATTTAGTCGGCGTTCGCTACAACATTTACAGCAGTTACAGTGGCGATGGCATCCATTATCCTAATCTTTAGCTCCGTGATGTTTGCTATAGGCGTGCGACACACAATATCCTTAACATACCCCCAGAAAAAGAAGTCCAGTGAAGTGATGTCTGTCGAGCACGAAGGCCACGGAATTGTCCCACCCTGCAAGCCGAACGACGCATTAAATCTTTTCTTGCACAGTGGCCATTTTAAGGGGTAATACTACTCACTGGAGTGTAAACAAACATGGCAATAAAACTGTTTGACTTCGGCTACAATATGTTTAAAACTGCGTGGTTGTATTTCTTTAGTTATTTAATTATTAAATTTTAAAATAGAAAATATAATTTTTATCCTAAGACTAATTATTATAGTAAATACTATTGTTTTGTTTTGAATTTTGCGCAAAGCTACACGAGTGCTATCTGCGCTAACCGTCCCTAATTTAGCAGTGTAAGACTAGAGGGAAGGC